TGTTTTGCATGTGGTAAGGTTGACACCTCACCAAGTGGAAAGTCGTAGAAGAAGTACACGGTCAGGTTTCGATCCATGAACCTTTGGAGATGTCATTTTATTTCATTGCCAAACTACCGCTCTTCGCCGGAACAGAACGCACCCTCATTATGGATGAGCTGTACCGGACCGGAAAAATACCTAGTATGCATTCATTATCAGAGTACGTTACGTTCGGGGGGGAATTAGGTAGGTTGTGTTTGTGTTCATCTCATTCCACCAGGGGGTCTAAGCTCCCTTCCTGCGTACAGGGGGGAGGGGGGGAGGGGTACAGGCGGTCGCAACCCCAACCTCATGAGGATGGGGTTTGAGTTAGTGGCACAGGTGTGGGACCGTGTGGGACAGGTATGGCACGGTGATGGGCCTGCTCTGCACTGCCATCTTTTTTTTTTTTCGTCTTTTATGCATGTGGAGAGTAGTGCAGCGAGGCCCTCCTATGGCGAAGTTGAGCGACCGTATGGGACAGTTGTGGGACTGTATGGGACTGAAAGCTCACATGTGGTCGTGCTGTCCGTTCATCGGATAATCCCTGTAATCCGTCTATGGATAGATGATCCAACGGTGGTGATCTGGCTGCTGGATGATCCAACGGTGGTGATCTGGCTGCTGGATGATCCAACGGTGATCCGAACCTATGACCCCTCTGTACCCAAAACAGATGCTTGCTTGGATCTTGGATGGATGACCCAATAGCTGACAGGATTCGAATCCTGCGTGCGACCCCCTGTACCCCCTGTACGCAGAACACAGATGCGTACAGGGGGTCAAGATGCGTACAGGGGGTCGCAGGTTCGACCCGCCAGAGTAGGAGGCTACACTTTCTTGTCTTGTCTTGTTATATTTGATCGCCATGGTAATTCAACGCAACTACCGACTTCCCCCGAACACAACGCACACTCATTTTGACTGTATCGGGCCGGAAACATGCCTTGCATACGTTCGTTTTCAGGCTGCGTTATGTTCGGGGGAAGACGGGAGACGAGGCTATATATATCTTTAAAGCCAAATTGAAAAGGAAGATACAAGCCCGGCCGAGAAATCTCTGAAGTTGACGAGCGGGAGCTCAGAATTTCCCGACAAGATTCTGAGCTAGCTCCCGCTCGTGAACTTAACCGCTCTAGTTGCGTTGGAACTCGTCCGGGGGCGAGGTCCCACCAGCAAAGAGTATTGGATAAATATCCTGAATCTGGACGTGTTTTAACCAGAGATGCAGAAAAGCAGTTGGATCTCGATCTTCTGCACACCTTTCCATAAATAAGTCCAGATTCACTCGCTCAATCCAATCCTCTTTGCTAGTGGGACCTCGCCCCGGTTAAGTTCTGACGAGCCGGAGCTCAGAACTTAACCGGACGGACGAGCTCCAATAACCCACCCCGTCCCCGTCCCCGACCCCGTCCCCTTCCCCGTCCCCTTCCCCGTCACCGTCCCCTTCCCGCCGCCGCCTCCCAGTGCTCTTCCGGTCCTCAGAGTCCGAGTACAACCCCGGAATGTGTATATCCAACTGCATAATATTATACCTTACAGTTACGCAATCTGAAAGTCCTATCGAGGAGGAAGGAGGGTTGGTGAAGCAAGAAGACATCAGGCGATGGCTGTGCTGAGCTGGGAGATAACCATGGGAGCGAACGAAGACTTGCAGTACCTGTCTGATCCTATATCTATCTATCTATCTATCTATCTATCTATCTATCTATCTATATAACAGAACTGCCCGGTAAACCGTAGGCCGAGAGGGAGGGGAGGGAGAAGAGGACAACAAACGAGGGGCTGTGACAAACTGTTTTGTCGGAGTTTCACCGACTTATTAGAACTATCTATCTATCTATCTATCTAGATAGATATATATAGGAGGAACGTATGGGCGAAGAAGGGGTATAGAAGTTGGGGGGCCCTCTATCCCGTGTGTGTGGCTGTGGCTGCTTCTCTTGTTCGGTGATGAATGTGGCATGTGTGCAGGATGTATTTGTCTGGGAAAAGTGTTAATAGCCGGTTTCGTGGCAAATTGTGAAAGGCTGTAGCCTGTAGGGGAAGCCACACCCTACATCATTCACGATTGTGATTTGCTTCAGCGGAGGCCACACAGCCACACCCCTCCTGACAAGCGAATACTGGGAGAACGAGAGAGCCAAGACTACTGAGCGTTTGGCCAGCTACCCGTAGCACGGCGAAGTTCCTACGGTAGTGTGCTTTCTACTCTACGCACCTACTACAGTAGGGATAAGGAAGTTGGCAGGAAATGCAAGCGAAGGATGCATGCCAAGGAAAGGAGGCCTAATTAGTCGATTGATTGCATGTTCAGGGGTCCTTACGAACTCATCCAGTCCTCTTACGATCCTTTTTTTTTTTTTTTTTTTTTTTTTTTTTTGGGTCAGATGAGATCTGAGGGGAAAGGAGGCGGGTTAGTTACTGTTGTGATTTCTATTTTCATTTTGTTTTTTGTTTTTTTTTGTTTTTTTAATTGTTTTTTCTTTTTTTAACTGTTGTGATTTCTATTTCAAACACAACTGCCGTGATCAGCATTTCTAAAAGCGGATGTAAGTAGGAAGGTAGGTCCTGTACGAAAGATATGTTCCCTGATGACGTGGCAGAACGCCAGTTAAAAAATAATATGTCAGGTGAGAGAAAAATACTTATATGACTGTCCCCCGATGAGGAGAAGGCAGCTTTTTTTGAATTAAAAAAAAGGGGAAAAAAAAAAAAGGCGGATTGGCTGCTGATCTACGAGACTAAAGATCTGGAATCCCGTTTGTCGAGAAAACTTACCCCACCTACCTTTCTTTTCTTCCGTGATTCTTTTTTTTCCTATTTATGGGAGTCCCGTGGGTGGTGCACGAGACCCCTGGGCCGTGATCTACATTAATGACCCCATCTGGACGTCTATCCCCCTGGTGGTGGGAGTCCCCTGGGCGGTGCATGAGACCCACACGTGTCCAGTCTATTTAGTATGCATGAGAAGCAGCATATGCTGGGAATTGGGCCCAGCTGGTCCTACGGTACACGGAACATCACTCAACATCTCCAGTGGCACGGAGCCACTCCTACTCGAGAATATCATACTTAAGAGTGATTTTTTTGAATTTTTTTTTAAAAATAGAGTGATTTTCCAATGCCCTGGGGAAATCAAGGGGTGTCAAAAAAAGAAAAAACTTGCCTCTTTCAGTCTTTTCCAGGGCCGGGAGAAAAAAAAGAAAAAAAAAGAAAAAAAGAAAAAGAAGGATGTCTAAATTTCTAGCAAAGATTTGTATGCTACCATTTTGTAATCGGAAACTGCTTGGGGCGAGGTCCCACTTGGTAGCAAAGGGGATTGGTTGAAGCGCCTGAATCTGGATGTGTTTTATGGAGAGATGCAGCAAAGACGATCAACGGAAATTAGTACCGGCATCTCTCTACAAACACGTCCACAGACATTCGGGCATCCAATATAATCCTCTTTGCTAGTGGGACGTCCCCCCTGGTCAGATCCAGCAAACAATTATTTGGAGGATGGAAAAGATTTGCAAATATTCTGATGCTGGTCTCAGAGAGGAGATGAGGCATCTATGTGTCCAGTCCCACAGAGACCCAAGTGCATCCCTTGAGGCTTCGGTACATATCCCTCTGTTTTTGCAATTACCTTTCTGTTGGCATATTCGTTATTCTTCGTGCTC